GGCCTTGACCAGACCCAGCTGAGCTACTCCCAGAATCCTCACCTACTGAAACAGTAAGATAACAAACGCTTGTTATTTGAAGTTGATAAATTTGGGGTTGATTTGTTATGCAGCAAAAGATAACTAATATGTTCATTAACTGAAAAAAGTTAGGATTTCAAACTATACAGAGTTTACTTGGTCAACCTTTTAGGGAACTAAATGGCCATAAATATCAAACCCCCCTATAATTTTGTACATCCTTTAACTTTGTAGCTCTACCTCTAGAAAATTCTCTTAAGGGAAATCATGGATGCTAACAAAGAAATGGTTACAAGGATGTTCAGAGTGTAAGGCTGGTGGCAGGCACCCCTCTCCCCTCCCTAAAGCTGCAAAAGAAGAAGAAGCTGACTATGCCCGCCGAAAATAACTGGACACAGACAATAAGCCAGACACAGGCAGTTTCGGTTCCTGGGACTGAACAACAAACTCCGTTTCACGGAACCCGCCAAAACCCTCAGTTCTGCTTCAGGCAGCATAAAAAGCCCTAGCCCCCGCCAAACGGGCGCGACTTCACTGGCCCCCTCTCTCGGGACCAGTGAACCTCGTCCGGGAGTGCTCTCTTTCCCCTTCCCCCAATAAAGCCTCATTGCTTGCCCCTTTTCACTCTGCTCGTCTTTCTTTCTCTGCCGCCGCCCATCCAAAAACCTTACACAGAGCAACGCTGTTCATGATGGCAAATTTCTAGCAATCCATACATCACAGAATTGAGTGGCCAAATTGTGGAATTACCTCTGATAGAACAGTTTGGAATCCATTAGTGAGCCTTGAAAACAATAAAGTGACTTGCCAGTAGCACTTGAAAAAATAAAATGGAATAGAATTAAAAATATCAGATTAAGGACAAGTTTTGCTCTATAAGAAATTTTCATTTCATATTTATACATGTATATGTTGTGATATTAAATTCCTTACTCTGAGTCATTGTCCAAATTTTGAAAACCTGCAGTGTTAACAAAAGATATCTATAAAACTACTTAATGACACAAAAATATCTGAAATATATATATACATATACATATATTTGTTTTTTCGAAACAAGGTCTTGCTCTGTTGCCTGGGCTAGAGTGCATGGAGCACATGGCGTCATCATAGCTGACTGCAACCTCAAACACATCACATTTTTCATTTTCATCTCTTGCGACATTCTCAACAAACCGTAGGCAATGCCTGTTCTTTGTCATGCTAAGCACCTTTACTTTTATATCTTCATGTTCCTGTTGCTCCTTCAAGCCCTTCTCTGTCCTCTATCCTCAAAACTGATTCTTCTTAAATTTGTAAGAAACAATGTTGATGCATTACCTTCTATGGCATGAGAGAATATGTAGGTTTGGGTTTTTTTCTTTTTTTGAGACAAGGTCTCGCTCTGTTGCCTAGGCTAGGGTACAGAGGCAACATCATATCTCACTGCAGCCTCAAACTCTTGGGCTCAGGGGATCCTCCCACCTCAGCCTCCTAAGTAGCTGGGACGACAGGCATGTGCTACCATGCCTGGCTCATTTTTCAATTTTTCTTTTTGGTAGAGACAGGACTCGCTATGTTGCCTAGGCTGGTCTCTCAACTCTTCGGCTCAAGGAATCCTCCTGCCTCCAAAGTGCTAGGATTATAGGCATGAGCCACCATACCTGGCCTGTGTATGGTATTTAACTATGTTAAATATATATGCATAGAAAAAAAAGAATAGAAAGAAACTTGTCCAAATATTAGTAGTGGTAGTTTTTGTCTGGTGGGATTATGGGGAATTTTTAATGTTTTAGAAAAATTTTTAAAGTGTCTAAAATAAACATGTTTTTCTTCTATAATAAAATTTTTAATAAAAGAAAGAAAAGGCATTTAAGAGCAGCCTGGTTTGCTGGAGTCTGTCTGCTGCCTATTTTATCCCAGCACTGGACATGGACCAGGCCAGGAGATCTGGCAGACACCCTCCCCTCTGCCCAGGGCAGTGCCCTCTTTGTTTTCCTGCTCTGATGTATGTGGCTGTGTGGTCCCCATGGCTTTTTCCTCTCATCTTGAGTCTTGTAAGTCAAGTAAGGGAGTCTTGAGCTCCCTTATCTTGGGCAAACTCACTAATGAATGGTGACACGCATAGGCCAGTGAGGAGATGTGGGTCAATGCTGAGATGGAAGAGTGTAATTAAGGAGCTTCTCACTATAAATAATGGACATTGAGCTTCACAATGTCCATGCTGCATGCTCATGTAGACTCTCCTCAACCCTTAGTTTACAGATGAAATAAACTCACAGGAACTCTATGCATACATCTATCTGTCCCTGTGTCAGGCATTCATGTTGCATATTTGTGTGTCCCCAATCCACTACCAAGTTCTGTTAAATATTACCCCTGAGATAGTTCCCCCATCTGTCCACTTCTTGTCATCAATAGCACCACCTCCCAGTCAAGCCCTATAGCAATGGCCTCTTAACTCATCTCCACCAGCCCTTCTATGCCCTCTGATCCTCTTTCCATACAACAGCCAGGGTGATCTTTTGGAAATTTAAGTCAGAACATGTCACCCTGCCCAACCACCATTGCTTAAGACTCTTCAGTGACAGCCCAGTGCCCTTAGGACAGAGACAAAACTCCTCAACGTGGCTCACAGGGGCCCTTCTACTGACTCATGGCCCACTTTTCCCTCCCTCCTCTGTTCCAGTTCCACTGGCCCTCTCTTAGTCCCTTGTACTCACTCCTATCTCCCTTCTGCCACAGGGCCTTTGCATATCCTCTGTCTGCTGCCAGGCCTATCCTTGCTGGCCCCTGTGCCTAGTTAACTCCTACTAATCCTTCAGAACTCAGTTCAAATGTCATCACTTTCTAGATTACATCCTCACTAGACATTCTTATAGCACTTCCTTCCTTTTCTTCAAGTCACTAAATGAAGTTGCATCTTTTTGTTTATTTGATTAGTTGATTAGTGTTTGCTTATTTTCACATGAGAGCATAAGTTCCATGAAGGTAGGGACTATGTCTCTTTTGGATCACCAATCCCTAGTACTGAGGGCAATGATTGGCAAACCAGGGGAGCTCATAAAATTCTTGTTAAATGAGTTAGTTAATGAATTAACAAAACCCAGTGACACTTCTGATCTGGTTCCTGTTGTCGAAAGGGCTCTCAAACCCTTTGGAAGATAGGAAATAGAAGAGGGAGGGGACTATCATAATAATGTCTGCTGGTCACAGAATGTCAAAGTGACAGCTGAGTCCACAAGCTGCATGTTAGAGGCCTCCTTCCTCCTGCTCATCTCTGCCCTCTTCCAAAGAGGGCCAGGAAAAGAGCCACCGTGGTGAAGCCCGGGGCCAGCCTTTGGCGACCAGAGCCTTACCAGGAGGCAGGGGGAATGGGAAGATAAATAAAGGAAGGAATGAATGTCTACTGAGAAGGGACTCTGTTTTGGATGCCATGCTAAATGTTTACACGAATCAGTCATTTCATCTTCCCAACAATTCCATTTTGTAGATGAGAAAAACAGACTCGAGGAGGTTATTAAACTTGGCCAAGGTTATAAAAGCAAGGCAGGGCAAAACTGAGTTTCACCTGGATCTGTCAGCCTTCCTTCAAAGCCTGGGCTTCCCCAGGCTGCCATCCTCAAAACCTCCCCACCTCGTTAACTTAGCGCCCAAAGTTCCATTGTTAAATACTCATCCATTGGCCTTTTTCTAAAGCTCTCTTTTACAAGTCCATGTATGATAGTTGAAGTTTATACATTGGAAACAGAAACTCAATATCATAAAGGCAACCACTACAAGACCTAAAAGAAGTATTTAAACAAAAATCGGAATGTGGACAGTAAAGGTGACAAGGAGTTAGTGTGAGTGAGTTAACTTCTCAGTCTTCGTATTGAGGAGACAAGAGATACTGTCTAATTGACAAATTCAGAAAGATGTTACATAAAGGATAACAGTGATCACAGGAGAACTAAAAACAGAAGCTGTTGGTGAGGGTTGCCTCTGGGAAGAAGAGAGAAACCAGCATTTTTCTTTTTTTTATTTAGTCATAGTGATGTAAGCATTTTTCATTTGTTTGCCCTTCAGAGCTGTTCATTTTTTAAAAAATTAATGTTCTATTCTGTAACTTAAAAAAAAAGTTGTTCTAAGCTCTTTATATATTAGAAAAAAAAAGTTGAGAAATTTTTCTTACAAAGGACTAAACAAACAAAAATAGCCTACCTTTAGAATGCAAGTATGTCTAGAAGTATAATATTAACCCTCGACACCTGGGTATAAGTTAGGTCTGCAGATTTTGTTTGTGTTGGGAAGTACCTGAAAGGTGGGGGGTGGGGAGTGTCATGTGATAATAAATGTGGTTCCTAAGCAGTTGCTTCAGGGGAACAGGCAAGTAGACCAGGCTTCATAAATTTGCTTTTACAAGCACACAGGGCCAGGCTGACACATTCAGACACACCCAGACATGAGGGGGCACTGGTCCCACGAGGGCCGTGGATAAGGACCCTCCAACTCCATCCACCAGCCAAGACTCTGCCCCCAGCAGGACTGTACTCTGAACAGGAACCCCTGCCAGCCAGGGATCCTGCTCCTGTGGGATCTGTCCGACCACAGCTTCTTGGGGGCCAGAGTGGATCTAGTCTCAGGAAGGTGGGATGCAGGGAGATCTCAGGTGAGAGCAACCTCAGGTTCTGTTCCAGAGCTGGCCACAGAGCACTGATCGGAGCCCTGTACCCCTTAGGACCCAAGGGCCTCTTTTTCCTCCCTGGGCAGGGCAGCCTCTTGACCTTTGCTCGCCAGCAGTTTATGTTCCTTTGGGCTCAGCAGCTGAAGAAAGGAAGGCTGGGCATGGCTCTGGAGTGCCACTTGCTGGCTGGCCGTGAGGAGCTAGGAGACTGGCATTCCCAGCACCAAAGCCCTGTTGATCTTTGACCCCCACCCCTCCCTGGGAGCCTTGGCCCTCCTCCTGCCTTCCTTTCTTCCCTGCTGGCCTCTCCCTCTGTTTGCTGTCTCCTCACTTCCTTCTGTCCCCTTCCTCTGCCTGGCACGTTCTCCCAGCCTTTGGCCCAGTCCAATCCTTCCATGCTGTCTTCAAGCCCTACTTCCTGCACATCTCCCGACCCAGACAAGGAGAACCCAAGTAAAAAGGTCCAGTGGGCTTCTGGGAGGAGGAGGACATCATCTACAGACTCAGAGTCCAAGTCCCACTCAGACCCCTCCAGGGTGTCCAGGTCCCGGAGACCCAGCCGACTGACGGTGAAGTACGACCGGGGGCAGCTCCAGCGCTGGCTGGATACGGAGCAGTGGGTGGATGCTCAGGTGCAGGAGCTCTTCCAGGTGGGTAGCACAGGGGAAAGCCGGGGCAGATGTGGGCCCCGGGTTGGCTGAGGGTCTGAGGGAGAGGCTGGCTGCTCAGAGACCTTCGCAGGAGCTGGAGGCTGGTGTGAGAGGTTCCCATGGACAGAAAGCATTTCCCAGCAGGTGGGTTTGGAGTCTGCCTAGCTCTGGTTTTGACTGTGCCTCTCTCTTTGTGACCTGGGTAAGGTCTTTTAACATCCCTGAGACTTAGTTTCCTAACCTATAAAATAGGGCTGTCAATGCCTGCTATATCTCCTTTGTGGGACTTTGTGAGGTTCAAATGAGACAGTAGAAGGGAAAATGCTTGGTCAGGCTGTTTTTCTTTATGTCTTTATTTACTCTTATTCTCAACACACAGTTTTTGAGACAGAGTCTCACTGTGTTGCCCGGGCTAGAGTGCTGTGGCATCAGCCTAGCTCACAGCAACCTCAAACTCCTGGGCTCAAACAATCCTCCTGCCTCAGCCTCCCGAGTAGCTGGGACTACAGGCATGCGCCACCATGCCCGGCTAATTTTTTCTATGTATTTTTAGTTGTCCGATTAATTTCTTTCTAGTTTTAGTAGAGACGGGGTCTCGCTCTTGCTCAGGCTGGTTTCGAACTCCTGAGCTCAAACAATCCGCCTGCCTCAGCCTCCCAGAGTGCTAGGATTACAGGCATGAGCCACCACGCCCGGCCCACATACATGTCTTGATCCACATTTTCCAGTACTGTAGCTATCAGCCACATGTAGGTATTTAACTTTAAATGAATTAAAATTAAATAAAATTATTCAGTTCCCCAGTCACACTAGCCACATTTCAAGTGCTAAATAGCCCCATGTGGCTAGTGGCTACCATATTGTTAGCACAGATATAGAACTATTTCCATCATCTCAGAACGGATAGCGCTAGGCTAGAATGTTAGAGTAACCAAAAGTGAGCATTCATACCCTCAACCCTGGCTCTGACTGACTCCCCTTCAACCCTACCCTGGGAAAAGGATGGGTCTTGGCCCCTAGTCATAGGAAGTGGCACTTTCTTACTTAGATACCTCCAAATCTGGATCCTAGAGTAGTAACAACTGCTGTTCTAGCAACAAGAATAACATTTTCAGCACTTAGCTATGTGCGAGGCACAGTGCCAAGCACTGACATGCATTATTTCATTTAATCCTCTCCACAACTCCATTAGGTCAGCACTGTTTTATAGCTCAAGGAATGGAGGCTCACAGATGTTGAGTAACTTGCCCAAGGTCACACAAATAGGAAGCTATGGGACCAGGAGCTGCAGCTAGAGCTCTGGCTGCTGAGCTTGGGCACTTATTCAAGCAGCCAGTGGTGCTCCACACTTCAAATACTTAAGAAAAAACACTGATGCCCCGGCTCCACTTTAACTGAATTTAAATATGCTACAGTGGGGTCCAGACATTGGGTATTTTTTTAATAAGCTCCACAGTTAGTTCTATCATGTGGTCAAGCTGAGAACCACTGCACCAAGCCAGAGTACCTGGAGTTCACCTCGTCCACAATATGTGGTCCTTGTTTCAGCTCCCTGTTGACTCAGGTCCTGTCTTGTCTTTTTGGGACAGCAAAGGCCTGTGATTCTTGTGGGTAGGGGCTGTCAGTAGTCCTGTGGTTGGGGGTGGGAAAGAATGATAGGTGTGGCCCAGTCCATCTTGAAGCTCACTGAGTCATGTGTCAGTTTGGTCCAGGTGTTAACCATGTCCCCTGCAGCATCCTAAGCCCATTCATGGAGAGGAGGGAGATGCCCTGGAGCTGGGAGCAGGAGAGGTGGACTTTGTTGGCATGTGTCTATTCTCCTTGTGGGACACCTCTACTGCCTTTCCTTAATTCCAGCACTCCCTACCAGATCAGTTTCCATTTCAGATTGTTTATTGTACACTTGCATGAAAAGGCTCACATTTCAGACACACCAGGGCAAAATACTTCCAGGCATCAGAGAAAGACAGCAGCTAAAGAACCTTGTTTTGTAAGATGAAGGTGGAGGGCAGGAAGCTGTATAATATAATAAGCCCATAACATTGGAAAATGAGACATGTGGGAGGACCGCTCCCAGGCAATGACAGGAATAAAATGCCTGGCCTGTGGTTGCCATGGCAACTGTCCAAAGGTGCCAGGTGACGGTTCCTCTCCCAATCCCTACTGTTTTGAGCAGGAAGCAGTGAAGTGTCTGGGGAAGCCCTAGGTGGCTGGTCATCTAGGGCAGAGGTCAAGGAAACAGTCTCCAGCTTTACTCTGCTCCAGTTCTACCTTCACAGAGCCCCTCCTCACCCACCAGGGATCCACCCCATACACCCGTCTTGGACAGCATCACTGGGAATGGTTCTGGAGGACCATCACTCTACTGTGTAACTTAATGGGACCAACCTTCCTTTGTTAGAGGGCCCTCTCTCTTCTCCCTGGATGTACAGCCTGGTTTGGGGTCTTCAGAGGAACCAAGTCTGGGAATACAGACTCGGGCCCCTGGAGCTCCTGTGGTCCAGAGGTAGAGTGTGGATTTGGCTTCTAAGCAGCGACTTAAATATCCATGAGTTTCTCCTATTTTAAGGAGACCCTCATTTAACAACATCCCCCTCTCTAGTTACCATTCCCTATTTCTTTTCTATTTTTTTTTTTTTTTTTTGAGACAGAGTCTCACTGTGTTGCCCAGGCTAGAGTGCCGTGGCGTCATCCTAGCTCACAGCAACCTCAAACTCCTGGACTCAAGCGATCCTCCTGCCTCAGCCTCCTGAGTAGCTGTGACTACAGGCATGCGCCACCACGCCCGGCTAATTTTTTCTATATATTTTTAGTTGTCCAATTAATTTCTTTCTAATTTTAGTAGAGACGGGGGTCTCGCTCTTGCTCAGGCTGGTCTCAAACTCCTGAGCTCAAACAATCCGCCCGCCTCGGCCAACCAGAGAGCTAGGATTACAGGCGTGAGCCACCGCGCCCGGCCACCATTCCCTATTTCTTATCTCCTTAGAGCCAGACTGCTTAAAGGATTTGTCCACACTCACAGCCTTTACTTACTTTTTTCCTTCCTCTCACCATTCAATCCACTGAAGTCTGGCTCCTTCTCCCACCATTCTGTTGAGAGCTCTGGCCGAGGTCACCGATCACTGCATTGGGGCTAAATCTAATGTCCCTATCAGCAGGGAACACTGTTAACCATCCAGAGTTTTGAAACATTCCTTTTCTGTAACTTCCATGACACTATCTTTTTCTGGTGCAGCTGGCATTTTGATACAACCCTTTTGACGTGGTGACATTTTCTTTTTTTTTTTAAGAGCTGGGGTCTCACTTTGTCATCCAGGCTGGAGTGCAGTGGCATCATCATAGTTCATTGCAGCCTCAGTCTCCTTGGCTCAAGCAAGCCTCTCACCTCAGCCTCCTGGGTTGCTAGGACTACAGATGCGTGCCAGCACACCTGGCTAATTAAAAAACCTTTTTTTATAGAGACGGGGTCTTCCTGTGTTGCCTAGGCTGGTCTCAAACTTCTGGCCTCAAGCAATCCTCCCACCTTGGCCCCCCAGAGTGCTAGGATTATAGGCATGAGCCACTGTTCCCAGCCTGATGTGACATTTTAAGTAATGATCTATCAGACTTTCAGCTGTAAAAAAGTGTTGTCAATGAATGTGAGAAACAAACATTTGTTAGTTCATCTGAGCCTTACTCCATCGCTGATGCCCATGGTGGACAGATCAGGAGGAAGGGGCCTTGTGTGAGGTGGAGGTAAGAAAGGGGGTCAAATCAGGCAGCGTCTGGCAGGAAACCATCCTATGTAATATAGAGTCACAAGTTTACCACGCTTGTTCATCCCAGGAGGGGTTGTTTTGTATACCTGCTTATTTCCCGAGACTTCAAAAAATACTTGAGGGAAAGAATATTTGGACTGTGACATGAGCCCATATGCTCAATGCCATACTGCAGTGGCAATCTTACTCTCCGTAATCCGCATACCTTACATTCGATATATAGTCATGTCTCCATTAACAATGGGGATATGTTCTGAAAAATGCATCATTAGGTGATTTCGTTTTTGTGTGAACACCATAGAGGGCACTTACACAACCCTAGGTAGTAAAGGCTGCTATACACATAGGCTATATGGTATAGCCTATTGCTGCTCATAGGCTACATAACTGCACAGCATGTTACTGTATTGAATACTGTAAACAATGATAACACAATGGTAAGTATTTGAGTATCTAAACATAGAAAAGGTACAGTAAAAACACAATATAGGCCGGGCGCGGTGGCTCACGCCTGTAATCCTAGCACTCTGGGAGGCCGAGATGGGTGGATCGCTCAAGATCAGGAGTTCTAGACCAGCCTGAGCAAGAGTGAGACCCCGTCTCTACCAAAAAATAGAAATTATCTGGACAACTAAATACATATATATATAGAAAAAATTAGCCGGGCATGGTGGCGCATGCCTATAGTCCCTGCTACTCGGGAGGCTGGGGCAGAAGGATTGCTTGAGCCCGGGAGTTTGAGGTTGCTGTGAGCTAGGCTGACGCCAAGGCACTCACTCTAGCCAGGGTAACAAAGCAAGACTCTGTCTCAAAAAAAAAAAAACACACAATATAGAACATAAAAAAGAGTACAACTTATAGGCACTTACCATGAATAAAGCTTGCAGGACTGGAAATTGCACTGGGTATCAGTCAGCAAGTGAGTGGTGAGTGAATGTGAAGGCCTAGGACATTACTTACACTGCTGTAGACTTTATAAACACTGCACACTTAGGCTACACTAAATTTATAGAAATATTTTTTTTCTTCAATAACAAATTAACCTTAGCTTACTATAACTTTTTTACTTTATAAACTTAAATTTTTAAAAAATTTCTTGACTCTTTCGTAATAATACTTAGCTTAAACCACACATTATATGGCTGCACAAAAATATTTCCTTTCTTTATATCCTTATCCTACATGCTTTTTTCTATTTTTAATCTTTTTTTTTCTTTACTTTTTAAACTTTTGTTGTTAAAA